AAAAAATCTCACCATTGCTCTGGGTTGCCACATTATCTCTGTTTCTCCTGGTTGCCACATTATCTCTGTTTCTCCTGGTCTTCCTCCCTGTGATGCACGCCAGTCACTTCTTCCCCAGATGTAGCCCTCTGGTGGGTTGCAGCCATTCAGTGAATAACTAGTGCATCAAGGTATTTTTCAAATTGAGTTTCACTTATTAGTTCCTGAAGTCTGAACTTATGACCTTTCATTTAAAACTATTAAAATTCTATTAATCGAGTGTTAAAGGCTGTCTTCTTGAACAACATTGCTCTATTCTTTTTAGTCATGTCATCTTTCCCAGTTTGTGTCCTCATCAATCTCATTAACATAAGTCTATTTTTTGTGCCATGGTCTTTATTTTTCCTCTTTGAAAAAGAAATCATCCCCCCCAAGTCAATTCTTGAGAAAGATTTCTGGTAAACTCGYTAGCTCAATAGTTTGACAATTAGCACAGCTTAGGAAAAGAGCTGGTTCCCTCACAGGCAATGTATTATCTGCCTTGGACCTTATGAGCCAAACCACCAGCCTGAGCTGAGTTTCATGAATCTTTCCCTGGCAGCAATTCACTCTAACCAAGAACTTTGCCAAGAAAATTGCACATTAAGTTGGTAGCACACAATTTTCTATATTTTAACAGACAAGTAACATTAAAGCTATATTCACTTTTCCATTATATTTAAAGGTATTACCTTATTCTTTACCAAAAGAGAAAGTAGTGAAGGCATATTTATCTAGATCTTCACCTCAATTCACAATGTTCTTATTCCTGGAAAGATGTACTTGTAACTCTGTAACATTTATTCCCATCATAGTTACTCCCTTTCTTTCCTGGTTTGTTTTATAGATAATAAAAACATCAGCTGTGAAACAACACGCAATTTTAGTCTGTTAACATAGAAAGGACAAGTTTTTTAGTCCTGCAATTAGAATTTTTTCACTACCAAAGTTGTTCATGCTAATGGCAAACATCCATTGGGCATTTCAGGTATTGTTACCAACAGACCTGAGATTTATGTCCTTCTGTTGCCCAGTTTCTGTATCTGATAATTAAAAATTTAGCTTACCTAGAGATACTTCAAAATAGGCTTACTGGTTTCAAAACTTAAGGTCAGCAAATAAAATAATCTTTTAAAATACTCATTGGAAACAAAAACCACACTGTAAAAATAAGAATGTTTGGAAAGTATGTGTGAAGGGTTTTAAGAGATTTCACTATTTTGATATGAATGCCTGGAGACTGTGACTTGCAATGGATTTACCATGCTTGCTTTCCCATTTCAAGCCAGAGAGGGTTTATATATATAAAGTACAAATTTGTGCCTTTACTGGAAGAGCTGTCAAGTGAAAGGATTACACAAATCATTGTCAGGTCATCTGTGTTACAAGCACAACTTGTAACTYTGAGTCTGTCATTAAATGCTTTTTCCACTAAACTAAGAGTTCTCCACCCTRGCTGTTCATTATTTCCTTGTTAAAAGCACAAAGAAAAGATATGGGAAAACTTAATAAAACAATCTTTTTATTAAGCACAAATTTGCATTATTAGACATTGTGGTGGAATATGTTTCTCCAATTAGATCTCATCTGAAATTCAAATACCTTATTCCCTTCATGTAGTTAATTAATGCAGTTCATGCTCACAAAAAAAAAATTATTCATCTCAAAAGAAAACAGAAAAAACAAGTCAAAATAAAGTATATTTAGTAACCAAATTCCTAAATATTAGCATGAATCTTATTTTCATTCTTTCTGCCTACATGAGAAGTTCAGACATACAAAGGTTAGAAAACAGAATGGAGAAATGCAACAGAAAAGCTTTGGGGATCATTGTTCATAATCTTTAGGTTTGGACAAGCCTATCTCACTCCAAGAAGAGAAAAATGACAGTTAATTTCCAAGATAAAACACGCAGGCTTTCAAAAATCATTAGGCAATAATTTATATACTACATTCATGAGCCCACTCCTACTAAACATTAACAGGGCAAGCTAGTTYCTTGAAAAACCATCCAAAGAACAGCAGCAGTTCCAAAATCATTGGGGCCAAGYACCCAACATACACACTATTCCTTTGCCAGGGATTTACATCGAACTACCTCTAGTCTGACCGGCCAGATACCTTTTCATTTCAAAGAAAAGCAGATGTTTCTTTCTCCCTTATTTTTCYCTCTTTCAAATMCTATAGTAAAATTAGTTTATGACAACTTAAAAATCTGCATAAGTTCTCAGGGGACTGGGAGAACCATGCAGAATAATGATTCAGGTACAAAGCCAACAGCTACTTTTTTTGATAGAGTTCAAACATCACAATAGAGGTTTAAGTAAGGAGTGACATTAAAGAAACCTGGCAATGTTGTTCACAACCTCTCTGTTTACAAGCAACAAAAGCAAAGATAGGACAATATCAATACCTCAAGAGATTGCTTCACTTCAATCTACGGACACCTTGTTGTTCTACTTAGACTCTGTGTTGCTCTATTTAATTAATGATAGTGCATGTTTCCATAGAAAAAGAAAATATATCTATTTTCTGTACATTTATGCAGTTTCAATCTTTTTTAGTTGTCAGCGCCTGACATTAAACATACCTTTTCTGAGGTCCAAGTCTGTATTGCAGGCTGCATACTTTTTACTCAAAGTTGTTACTACTTACAAGTATCCTCTTGAAATGGTGAGTATCTTCCTTTTGACATCCAAGTCTGTAACTTTGTTCATATTTTCATAAACTGGATCAGAGATTTTTCAATGCATAACAACATCTAAATGCAAAATGCCTTACAAACATATTGGGTCAGAGAATTGGAAAACAATACTGAATATAAATTTCAGATGAAGCTCTTATTGCTAGAGTTGAGTTCCAAAATTCATGGCAAAGATGCCTTTGATGGGGAAGGAGTCAACACGTCAATTTTTAATTGTTCTGAAATATCTCCTGGCAAAAAAAAAAAAAAACAGCAAAACTAAGCAGAGTAATATGTCATCTCACTGCAATACTCAGACTTTGGAAGAGGCATTCTCAGAGCTGTTTTCATCAAAGGCAATATGTAATTTGAAAAGTAGCAGAAGTTCTCATTAAGAAGCTGGAAGAAAAAAATCTAACAAAATAATATAAATTAGCTTAATTTTAACATTAATATTGCACCCTCAAACTCTTAAAACCCAAGGTTTTCAAAGCTTTATATTACATTTGTCTCAAAAAAAGAGAAAAAATAGACAAATCACRAAGAAAATAATATACAGAAATAGTAAGAATATAGGCATTATTCAAATCTGAATARCAGATGAGATTTTCCTAAATAGACTGATTATATTAATAGCTCTTTGAATAACAGCTGTATGAATAGGGTTGCAAAAAATCAGATTTAACTGAAGCATAATTTGGCATATTAAAGATGTCACAAAAGATATATCTGTAATTTGCAAAATTGTTCCTTTAAAAGTGTAAAATGTTCACCACTCATCATATTTTTAAGATTATGAGCTCASAACCTTATGAACACCAGATTTCATTAAATCCCCTTGTTACCACTAAAGACTACCTAAAGACTGCAAAAAGTAGAAAAAAATAGTGGTATGTTTTCCCTCATCTTGAACATARCAGTAAGTCTGGAAGCAAAGGCACAAATTGCACCTGTCTGCCAGCTCTCTGCTGGCTCTGCACCAAATTATAAAAGTAAGGAATCAGTCACTTTTAGGACAGCATTCAGGCTGAGTTACTACTTTGTRTCATTCCACCTCAGATTTTGAGCAGACTGTTCACCAACACTCACCTCCATGGGCAACACACACTAACAAGAGGTTTATAGTCCTTCTCTGATCAGCACTTCAATAGAAGTAGCACTTCTGACTAATTTGGGAGAATTTTGTAATGCCATTTTCACTGTACAAAGCATGTAAAGGTGTTAGTGTCATTATTGAGTRGGTTTTAATGGCTGTATTTCATTAGTAAAACAATATTAATTTACTACACAAGTCATTACAAAGAGGGAGAAGTATTTATCACACTTTATAAGGCAGTGTGATTTTCATGTGGCAACTTTTTCATGCATGGCTGGAAAATGCAAATAATCTCCTGAATGGGGCAGTAGTACCATTATGTCCTATGTGCTGGAAATAAAGTATGCTTTGAGAACACAGAAAAAGTAAGATATATTGACATGCTTTATTGCARTAAATGCTAGTAAAATTGCAATCACTATTTAAATCTTAGGCCTGAAATAAACTCCTCAAAGATAGTCCACTGTGACATGAGGCAGCAGAATTAGAGCTTCAGAGATTATTTTTAACTTACTATTTTGTCAGTGTAAAGAGACAAATTCTCCCCTGTGTATAAATTGATTGAACAACATTAATTTCTAAAAATAAAATGAATGGCCAAAACACAAGGGGTTATCTGCTACAGGCAACATTTCATGCACTAGCCATAGCACTTTTTTTCTTTTTTTTTAAAGAAGGAATTCTTAATTTTAACATATTTTATAATCAATGGCATGTTGGTTACTAACTCTAGTGTACATAAACACTTCCACAAAATTTGACATTTGAGTTTTATGATTTGAAACCAACAAGGAATTCTTGGCGTTTCCTTTTCACTTTTCACCTAGAAGTTTAAAGAACAAATTAYACAGCCCACAACATTTTAACCCTTCATTGCCATGAGTATATCAGCTAAAGTAACCCTGTGCAAGGCAGAGTGTTCTCAACTGCAGCAAGAGATTGTGGACTCAGACTTGCAATTATTAAAAAAGAAGAAATGCTAGCAAGCTCTTTTKGCAAAGTAATATATCCTTGAGGACCCAAATGAGCAATGGGATCTACAAAATTAGATCCTTACAGTTTTTTTAAATTTAATTTTCAAGCTTTGTAGAAATTTGCTAATGTGGAGTTTAGAAGCCTTCCTCAGTAACCTAGTAAAGAGAACAAGAACCTGCTCTGTCAATGATACTTCAGAGTACCATGGCTTTAGACCAAAAAAAAAAAAATCATTGACATAGAATATGTAAAATTRTTGGCATAGTCTTTATTTTAAAGAGATCTCTGCAAGACAGTGAAAGACATTTTCTTCAGGTAGTGATTTTAGAAAAAACTTTTTTAATATAGTAACTATAATAGTAACTATTATTTTATAGTCTTATGCAAATATAAAAATACTAACAAAGTATGACACCTTCCCAGGTCAGACCCCATGTTCTTGTTCAATTTCAATAATCTCAGATTTATTAGTAAAAAAATAGCAATTAAAATGAACATTTATGTACAATATAATTGGAAAAAGTAATATCTAAAATTAGCTTAACATATTTTCAGGGTCTAGGCATGCATTGTCATCTAAACTGCAATTCTTTGTGACTTTACAATGATACCTTTTGGGTTTGAACACTTTCAATATCTCTCTCTTGTTACCATGTTGAAAAAAAACACAGACAAGAGGGGAGCTCCATGGGATCTCAAGAAACCATTTASCACATGCAAAGATCAATTAAGCATTTAGTCATATACTGTAGTGTTCAGTGTCAAATCACATATATTATTCAAATGCATTTAATCAAAATTAACATTCATTTCTTCCTATGAAGTTCCTATTGCAATAATATGGCATCTGAGTAAAGCAGCAGCTTCCCCGTTTAAGCATTTCTACTCACCTCAGTAATACCCAGACAGAGCATATCATGACTCAAATGCCAGCAAGTCTATCTGATTCAAAGATCTTCATTCTCATGTTTCTGAGAATTTTTTTGGACTGAATTTGTGTTCTAAAGAAACAGGGTAGCTTCTCCCCAGCTTTGCCTACAGTAAAGACCATGTCCAGGCCAAACTGTAAAAAAAATCTAAGGCTTATGGTTTTTCCCAGCTCTTTCTGTATGTGAATTTATAGGGAAAACCAGGAAACTGCAGCTTGAAGCTCGGTAGTTTTTCAACAGCTTCATAAACCTCTCTAAAAAGATAAAATAACCCAAAATCTTTGTTGCATGTCTAACACTTTTCAGAATATTGGTATCAAAGTGTATATACAATAAAAAATACCTAATTTTCATAAAATTTCTGTATAAATATATCACATTGACATACTCCTCACAGTGATTTCTATATCTATATCTATTTTAAATTGCAGTTGTCAGAACTTGGGGTTTASCTTCATTTCTGTTAGAAACCTTCCTTTGCAAAGGCAAGTCTCAGGTCAGAATACTTGTGCAGAGCATCCTGAATTCACATCAACAAAATTATTAAAATTCTGATGTATGATTTGCAAATCATTCTGTATTTTCAAACAGGGATTGATAAACTRCACTCTTCTCATTCCAGTCGTCCTTGCTTAGCATCACCTATTGCTCCCCATACATCAAATACAAACTCATCTGGAAATGCAAAGTCTCCAAGAGTTTCATCCAATGCCACTGCAAATTCATCTGGGTTTTTCTTGTCTCTTCCAGCTTCCACAATTGTTGCAGCTAAAGAGCAAGAAAACAAAATAATGAAATTATCATGAAAGTGACAGCTAACACATAGGGCCAAGATAAGTTTGGGATGTCCATTTTCACAACCTGGTAAGATCATCTTAGGGACATGCAAAGTCTGCCAGCTGAATTTAGGATTCAACAGGAATTATGTACTTAAAATTTGTGCTTATGCCTCTAGAAAGGGAAAAAGTTATTTCTGAAAATCTCAGCCAGGTGGTTCAAATTGGGCAGAAGCAAGAGAAAGGCCTTGCTGCTTTGYACAATAAACTGGAGCCACCAAACACTAGGAATACCTTGGTATCCAGGAAAATGAAAGCAGAGGCGTGATATAATAGAGATAAACTGTGATATCTTGTATACCGATACTGTCCAGCATTTTCTCTTAYTTAACACACAAGTACCAGAATTTATCAAGTGTCAGACCTCAGTTTTGAAATTACTACACTGGGGCTGCTGCTTAGGACTCACTCCTCAGCTGCTGTGTTCATCCCTCACCTTTTGCCACTGCACGGTTTCTCAGATTCTATGACAACTCAGAAATCTATCCCAAACAACACTGGATCCTGACAAAACCATGCATATTAGAGCAAATGAAAACTGAGGGCTCAAACCTCTCATGATCATGGCACCTACACCTCCATGAAGGGTGAAAACAATCAGCACAGAGGTTTCTCCTGGTTAAACTGGGCCCAAAGAGCCACTGGCAGCAAGCTACCTTGGTTTGAGGGAGGCAGAATGTTCTGTAAGACACATTCAGCACAAAGAGCACTTCTGAATACAGTCTATTTTCTGATCGGTATCYCTGCTCCACAGCCTCTGCTCAAATTCACAAGAAAATGAGGGTATTGTACAACAGATGAAACCTAAAAATCTGTTTCATTTTGTGATTACTTTACACACCTGCCTTAAACTGCAATATGTCCTCCATCTTTTGTTATACATCAAATAACCATCATTTTCTTCATGAGCATATCAAATTCAAGTGCCACAGTAAAGGATTTGATAGCTTCTAGCCTTTTCTCAGATGAATATCCAAAKGGAAAACACATAATGCAGTGACTGAGAAAGGGAAGGAAGTTTTGAAGCCACAGAAAAACATCTCCATTGGGACGGACTGCCATCACATACACTGTATTGAATCAATATGGCAAAATCTCTCTGATAAAAACAAAAATAAAGTTTCTCTGCCCTGAAGTTTTACTAAATTTATTTAATTTTATTTTGTTGACCTAAAACTCTGCTAGGATTTATTGACAGTTATGAACTTCTGGCAAGCAGCACTTGCTGTTGTGCAAACATGCAACAAGCTGTAAGCAAGCTTGAGCCACATTCCACACTGTAAATGTCAACAACAGTAATTCTGAGGAAATTTGATGTTTTGATTTTAACTACATTCAGATGTGAGGCTCCAAACACGATCACAATGTGTAAAACTACAAAGCTGTCCAAGGAAAATTTATGTAAATCTTGACAAATAAACTGCTGTGATAGAGACGGTTCAAGAGTAACTCAGCTTCCCAGGCACCAGTAGTGGTTCTCAAGGATTCTCAAGACCAGTTTCCCGGCCAGAAGAAACCCTATCCCTCTTGCACTGATTCTTTCTATGTCCGCTGTAAAATTTCTGGGACTCTGATTCAGACAACTCAGGATAGGAAATGAGCATTAAAGAGAGGACTGTTGTTACTGACAAGTGGAACACAAGGATTTGTCCTGTCAATGCCACTCTAAATTCCCTGACAACTTGGCATAACTAGGTACTTACAGAGAAGCAGCCCTGGAGGCAATGAGGTGAAGGATATAATTGAAACTTCAGAGATTTCTGGATATGAAGTAGGATATGAACTTACTTTTTATAGACACAGCGAGAAGGTTAGAGAGAGAAGAGCTATGTAAAGTGACATAAGAGCCAAACAYGTGAAGATATTGTTAAAACAGATATCTAGAAAAAGCTGCCATTAAAAGAGTAAGGCTCTAGACAAGTGCTCTAGCAGAGYGGGAGCAAGGAATTTAGCCATTTTTAAGACAAATTAGCCAAGAGATACGGAAGAACCATGACACAGATAGCAGCAATAAAATAAGACAACATATCATAATCCAGCTGCACTAGCTGATGCTTCAGAATTGCACATAATAAACTGTCATTAACAGAAAGTGTAACTCCAAAMACAACTTTCTTTAAAGATTGAGCTTCCCAATAATGAAATAGAATCCAAAAACTGATTTACTATAGATTTAAAAAACTTTAAAGGAMTTTATTTTCAACTTAGCTAAACAATTTTCAACCCAGTCAAGCAGGAATCAGATCACCGCCRTGCTAAAGCAGCCTCAAATATAGGCGTTTTCATCTGCATTGAGTAATTCGAATCAGCACTGCCAGGGCACTTTTAATGTACTATATTTATTAAAGCACATTCGCATTCCCAGATCTACCTGATGTAATGAAAGAGGCTTCTTGTTAAGGCTGCGGGAGCGGTGGCTTTCGGCAGCGTGGTGCTGACCTCCAGTGCCAGCCCGGCTGTACTGCCGCGCACCAGCCGTCCCTGCGGATTTCCACACCCCGCTCACACCACCGCTGCGTGCGAATGCGCCAAGCACAGCCCCGCTTCGCTACTTTCACACATCCAGAAATGCTAAAATTGGGCACTTTCCCCTGCCAGCCCGTGAACATTCTCCCGTTCCCCCAGGCAGCTGCCGCAGCCGCGGGACGGCGCTCGCAGGGCGGCGCAGCCGTGCGGAACAGGCCCGTTCACACAGCGACATTTGCAGCAATGAATTCCCGAGGCAAAGCAAAGCCTGCTGATTGTCAAGGCATTCAGCAGATACCTGCCAGCTTGAAGAAAACTTTGCTGGTTCTCAGAGGGTGACAGCCTCGTGCCAAACTGTCTCCACTCSCCTCCTATTTCCCCACTGTTTCTTGTAAGAGCTGCACAATAAGTGATTACAGGAACTTTATTCCAATAGAATATTTTTCCGCAGTCAAAAGAGCCTCAATTGTTTTCAGATTTTCCTTTTTTCATTTCACTTCAGGCAATGTTAATACCTGATAAATTTTTACATAAGATGTGAAAAGTTCAATAGTCTTAAAAGTGATGAAAATAATTAGCAGTCTTTTCAACTTTAACGGAGAAGCTAGATATCAGGCTTCCCAGAATATGAACAAACTTAGTTCCTTTAAAATAACTTCAAACTTTTTAACTTAGTTCCTTTAAAATAACTTCAAAGATCTTCCACAACATCCTTATTTTCACTTTTAATAGACTCATGTGGCACAAGCCATGAAAGCTACCTTCTGCCAGCCATTCTTACTATCTACCTTACATAGTGGCTTTGCTACCTATATCCTGTACTGTAATTTCTGAAAAGCTTTTTGCAGAAGTGTTGACAGAAACCTCAATATTTATTTAGCTGTAATGCTATTAGAAGTTTTGCCTTCATCAAAAGGTAACAAATGTTATTACTCTGTTCTGTCACTCTAAAGCAGAAAATGAAGCCTCTTATTGCAGTTTCTAGTATTTAACATTGCTTGTTTAAAATATTTAACATTACTTAATTTAAGTATTTAACATTACTTATTTTAAGCTTCATGTTGAACATTGTCAGACCTGGTAAACAAGGAAGTGTTAGAAATATTTCTTCATGTTCCTTTTTATTAAGTGCTAATTCTTCTTGGAGAGAAGTATTCTTGCTTAACTGGACCTGCTTTCCTTTTTTCCCAAAACTCCCATTATTCTTTCAGAGTAAATGAACAGTCATAAACAACGTACCCCCGTGCATAAAATAAAATCCTTTGAGAAAGGAAGTCTGGTGGCAAAAGGAGAAGAAAATAACAGATTCAGGAAGAATATTGCTTCAGTTTACAGCATTTAGAGATAAAAACATCTGTTGAACATTGACAGGTTGGATTTGTGAACCAAGTGAAGTTTGGGGGACAAAAACAGTTTAAACCTGTTARGATATTTTGACTAGATGGTAAGTTTGAAAAATGAAGTCAAAAGTGGAGAAGTATATTTAAAATTTTTTAAACAAAGAATATGCAAGGGTATTTYGGCCTGATGTCAGGGGTGGAAGGTTATGAAACAGATTATCTCAAGTGTGATCACCCAGCATGTACAGGACAAAGAGGGGATCAGGCCCAGCCAGSATGGGTTTAGGAAAARCAGGTCCTGCCTGACCAACCTGATCTCCTCCCAYGACCAGGTGAGCCACCCGTCGGATGAGGGAAAACTGTGAGTGTGTCAACCTGGACTTCAGAAAGCTTTTGATATCGTCCCCCACAGCTTTCTCCTGGAGGAGCTGGCAGCCCATGACTCTACCAGGGGATGTTCAGGTTGGATATCAGGAAAAATTTCTTCACTGAAAGGGTGGTTAAGCATGGAAATGAGCTGCACAGGGAAGTGGTGGAAGTGTTCAAGAAACRACTGGGTGTGACACTYAGTCCATGTTTAGTTGGCTTGGTGGTGTCTGGTTGAAGGCTGGACTCAATGGTCTTAGAGGTTTTTTCCAACCCTAATGATTCTATGATACATCATGTCTGATAATACTATAGGGAACAACAGAAAGGAAATATTCATCCAAAATTAGAAAAATTGAACAAGGGGGAACAAAATATCACTGGATGAAGCCAAAAGATGCTGAAAAAAATTTGGACAGGAAGCCCTTTTCCCCATCATTTAACTATCGGTAGCATTCTGGTGTTAGATCCAGGCTKCCTCCCACACAGAATTTTTGGAATTAAATACAGTGTATAACAATTCAAGTTTTACTGATTTCGAAAATAAATGCCAGTATTTTTCACTAATACTGTTTCCTGAGACATTCCTATTAATCAACTGCTYAAATTCCTTTACCAGAAAGCACCCATAGAATTTAAAATATCCTGAATGATCTCTTAGCTGTGCATTTATGTTTCAAAGAATGCTGAAGTCAAGCATTGGCCCAGTTTCTAATGTGCCCATAAAATGGCTGAGGAATATTTTTCCAGAGCCAACTACCCTTTCTATGGATCAAGTCCAGTTTTCTGTAAAAAGGAGTAAGGAAATAAAAAGGTAAAAGTGCATCCAAAAGCAGGTATGTAAATCTCAACAGCATTTCGATCTCTGAAAATTAAAAAACTGTGCCAAAAAAAAAAAAGTGCCTGCATTTCCTTTAACAATTTCTAAGCATTTTGCTCCAGCTTAGGAATTTCTGTGTAGATTTAGTCAGCCATTCTTGAAACTGTCAAGACACATAACTATGCAAAAATTAAGGGCTTTATCTCACCTTTAATTCCGTCTGTAATTTTACTTTAGGTTTTTTTTTTCTTTCTAACTTACGGCTTAAAACTGGGGCACTGTTTTAGAATTCAATCACACCATGGAAGTGTCATTTTAATGGAGATGAAAGAGCAACATTAACTGACATCCAAAGATTCTGACAAACAGAACTGCATGGAAGTGAGCAATGATTGAGATCTTAATCACTTGTCAGCTGTGTATTGTGATGACTTGCATTTTCAACTAATCTGGCTTGAGTAATGAGTGAAATTTCGAGCTAAGTGGTGATTGGCATTCTCTGAATGAATCTTTTCCTCATATTTCATTTTCATGGGTGACTGATCACATCCACTATGTGAAAAACTGACATGTGTTAATTGAACAGATTTGTGACAGGTGATTAGCTCTTCTTTCCTAAAAAGTCCTAGAGCTGTTTAATTGTTTTAAAATGGTAAAGATGGGGCGGCTTTGTCATCACCGCTGGCTGTTGATTCTCAGATTTGAACTGAGATTTGAACTTTGAAGGATATGGCTTCAAAGATGCAAGCTAGAGCTATATGAACTCTATAGYATTTGATTTTTGACAGCTTCTCCTGGGAAGGAAAAGAAAAGGTGAGGGACAAAACAACAACTCAGCTGGGAAGAAGAGAGSTTCTCTATGAACAAAGACCTCTTCCTTCTTCAAGTATCCTTTTAATTTTTTGGAAGTTCTTCAAGCTATATACTGAAAGATGAAGGGCATTAGATCTTTTTTTGGGGGGAAACAAAATTTAAGTAATTCATGGGGAAACTAACAGGTGCTTGGCAATTAACTCAGCCATATGTGTTGAAAGCTGAACTTCTCAGTCTACTGTGCAAGAGCCATCCTGTTTACAGTAGTGAGAGCCAAAACCACAGGGAACACCAGTTCCCACAGTACCCTTCCCATGGACACCAGAAGCAGACTACCTATAGCTGCTTATTCCTGTAGGGCGAGGAGCCTGGGGACCTTGGAAGTAACCTTCAAGGACTTCCAGAAGCCCAGACTGAGCCASGACTGCAACAGCTGCAGGACAAAAACAGCTCCCAGAGGGACAGCTGGCACGAGACTCAGAGCTTTGAAGTCTGAGCCAGAGATGGACTGAGATGCAGAGGTTGCAGGAGTGAGACAGGACACGGAATCCTCCCTAACCTAAACATGGCTCAGCACCACACAGAACTCTCAGGAGCATATTACATGGCACCAGCATCACATATTAGTTGTGGGAAGAGAATTTTTGAGAACATCTACCACAGAGTTTTCTGGGAATAGGAAAATTTGGACATATCCTACAAAACATAACCCAAGTTTTGGGCAGCTCTGTCCTCTCTTCTGTGCCAGGAAGCCCACTTCTACCTCAGACAGAGAGAGACATATACTGTTTTACCTACCATTTTTCCTGTGAGAGAACCAGTAGAACCTGCCAATCACATGCTTGCTGGTAGGAGCAGCCAACAAAGGCCTTTTGGCTATTCAGATAACCACCTTTTGTTTTCATTCCTCTATGCTAACTGCTGCCCTCCAGCCCTGATGCTTTGCCCTCTGGAGCTTCATGCCAGACCTGTTTTCTCTTCTGTTTTGCCTTCTCTACTTCTCTCTCATGAAAGCTTTCTTTTCAAGATCACTTTCCATTTAGCTTATCCATTCCTTATTCTTGGCTGATTTTAAGACATTACCATAACAATAAATGTCTTTCTCTTTCATAAATAAATGTCTCAGTACCAGCATTCCACAAGATCWTAGGAGGACAACAGCAGCCCCAGTTGGCTACAACAGCTAGACTGCATCTTCCTCCCACACAAACAGAAAATCCTATCTATTTTTTGTCAGAATTGGGAAGAAAAGCAACAGCTGCAAGGAAAAGTTTGGGGAATCTTTAAGAAACTTATGACACTAGGGTTAAGTAGTTTCTTTCATTGTAAACCATCAATTCTGATAACTAGTCAATAATCTACAAGCTTTCTCATGTTGATCAGAACATATTTTAGAGCATGATCTCATGTTTTAGAGCATYTGATAATCTTTTGCAATTATTCTGTCAGTTCCCTTGCTAAATAGTTGCCCTTTCACTGAGGAGATTCCCTTTAGAATCAACTTTGACGTGCCTGTGCCAAGGAGCAAAAAAGCAAATAAACATACTTATCCTTAGGAATCCTGAACCATGGCATACACAAGATCCACCAGAAAATATATGCCAGAAAGAATACAGTGGTGACAGTTATAGTAAACAACTAAAAAATTTGTGCAAGAGTATATAGATAATGTGTAGGAAGAATAGAGGATTGATTAATTAATTACATCATAAGCATTTAAGTAGGAGGGAAATTCTTTTATCAGATAAACACATTTGTAGAAATACAGACAAGTTTTTGAGACTGCACACTGGACAAATTTTGCTTCATTTACATCCACAGACTAAAGCACTCAATAAATTTTAGACTACAGAAAACAAGAAATTACTTAATCTTAAAAAAATRTATCTGCTAAAACTCACCTAATTCAATATCTCTTATGCCCATGTATGTTTCAAGAAGCTCATCCACTTTTTTAATTGCTTTTTCTTCAACTTCAGTTGGCTTTATTGAAATAAAAGGAGAAAMGAGTAAAAGTATGATTATATCCATGGAGATTTCAAAGTAACCAACAATGTACCACTGATTATCCTTAGTCCCATCTTGGCTACCTAGATTATAAAATCTTCAAATAAAACACACTATTCCAATCTTTCCCTCTTCTCACAAACATGAGCTTTCCTCCTAACACCAAGCCACACTGTTCAYGCATTCAAACTGCACAGGGGCTTTACATCTCCTGACAATACAGATCTTCCTCAAATCCTCATCAGCCTTAGAAGAGCCTAGAATAAATAACATTTTTCACCCAACTCCAATCCTGTTTTGTACATAGTCRTGTTCATGTATCTAATTAGCCTCTCCTAACAATAACCATTATACCAACCCAATGCACTTTGTAGTGTCAGAAATGGAACCAATTCTTCAACTATCCCACCTCTTTTTCCTCCCTTCCCTCTTTTCAGCACTCCTTAGTCTACCCTACCTTAAATTAATCCATGTAATCCATGACATCTAAATATAGGTTCTCTCAGGTTCTTAAGCCCCATCCTACCCCTGCTAGTCTTCAACTTTACTTGCTCTCTTTAGTCCCATAAGCTTTATAACACCCAGATTTTTCCTTCCTACTTATCAGCCYGGGGGAGAATAAATCAGAAGCTAGATGATTAAATTACTGAAGGGCATATACCACACCATACCATTTCCTCCACAGTAGCAGGGCCCTTGGTTCTCAGGCGAAGTGTTTCTCTCCCTTTAGAGATTTTAGCCTCTGACAGAGTTCTACCTTTGGATCTTGGTTCCAGCTTTTCTGAAGACAAAAAAACCCACAAAAATAAAACACCAAACAAAAGTAAGTATATGGTACAACAGAATATGATGTATCTGCTTTGGTTACTACATTATCTTCACATTTTATTCTAATAAAGATCTAGACATATTCAAAAATTTAAATTAAATGTATTCTAAGCATAGCTTTGCTGGCAACATCTTGTCTTCTAATTCTACTATCYGCTCAACTGTACTGAGCCTAGGACTTCCATTGCCTAACACATCTAAGCAGGTCTATGGCATTCACTTCATATATACACCTTGTGTAATTTTGTTTCCCCATTCTACAGAAAAGTAGAAGTATTTATACCTTAATATTAGTTTACAGCTAATATTCAGCCAACTGTTCATTTATTCTGGTCTTTTATAGGCAAAACACATAGCAGGTTTACCACTGCAACATTTCCATCTTTCACTGATGCAAAGGTGCAAAAACTCCTGCTMAGCAGGTGATGACAAGCCACAATGAGCTGAGCTAACAATTTGCTTATCAGCAGTCACAGAGGTGAAATGTCCATGGGCAAATCTGTAGGAGTTTTTCCAGTGGTTTCACCAAAATTATTTCACAGCTGATAAATCTCTAGGAAGAGTCTCTGGGTCTACACAAAATTTCCTTTACCTGAATTCAGCCTTTCTTGTTTCATCTTGGGTAAAGGCACCCCAGTTAGTAAATGGAGCATGAAATCATTTAAGATTTGTCTTTCATGTTCCAGGACACAGTTTTACATTCAAGAGTGGCAAGGCTTTAATTCACTCACTGACATGGCAGTTACATAATGAACCTGGAAAGTGCTAGAARAGAGGAGATAATTTTGCAGAACTGTTTTTAATTGTCTTGTTTTCTCTAACAGATTATTTCTCCTCTTAATAGCAGGCCTTTCTAATAAGCTCTTCTCAAAGACAGGATTTTAGCATGTGATATTAATTTTGCTCAGATAAATTTCAACTCATCMTTCTTGCATAAGCAGTCACAACTCTAGATTACTATGCTGAACTGGTTTTGAAAAGCAAATTTTATTAGCTTTTATTTTACAAATAGGTATGTCACCTTCCCTTATAAATATGCTTAGGATCAATACRTTTTCTTAATCCTTTTATTCCTTCAAGGACAGTTTAAAACATTCTTAAAACTGGCATAATTTCTGTTATACTTGTTTCAAAAAGTCATTCCTAATAAAAAAATTCATATTTTTAAAATTCTGTCACCATTATCTATCACCTTAAAATTCATGATTTGACATAACCTTTATTTGCAGTACTTCAGAACAATGCACTYTGACTATCACAGAAACTAGTTTTCATGTTCACATAATCAAAACGCAGAGTTTGTGTTATGCTGCTTTTACTTTGTTTCCATTAATTTTTCACAATTTGTAGAGGGCCAGCTGGTACCTGGAGGAAATCTTTAGTTCTGTGTTACAAGCCCTGTCTAGAGGATAGGCAACCAGTAAATTACACTTTTTTCATATTCTGCTGAGAGGAAGAAAAATAAAAATAGTTTCACACAGAGGCTTGTCTCTTATTTCTACACCCTCACCAGATTCTGTTTGAATTAACAGGAATTCAGCACCTACTTGTCCAGCAGGATCTGGATCTTGTTTGTCATCTCCTCTGGGGCTATTCTTAGTGTTTAAGCTGCAGCTTAAGCACTACCTTGAATAAATTTGTGCCTAAAGCTTAACTGTACCTAAGGCTAGAGGCAGGATGTTCTAGCCTACTGAGCACTTCACCTTCCAAGTTAATTTCCATAGGGTAAAAAACAACATGCATCTTCCAAAAATCTGTCCACAAAGCTCTGGTTGCCTCTTAATTCAATGTCAGATAAAAGGTATTGCCATGAAATTAGTGCATTTCCTTCTCTACATCACGGGCAGACTGARATATATCTTAGTGATCTGACTAAAGTAAATACTGTTAAATAATGGCTGAAGTCATCTGTCAAATGCTGATTTACCCTGCTCTTTACAAACAGACTGTGTAATGCTTTTAGCATTGAACCCRAATTATAGGTCCATAAAGAAAGCATTGCTGCATTACTAATTGTGATAGACTACATATGCAATTCTTTAGCATAATGTACAACACRCACATTTACCTAACAGGAGTATCCACTTATATACAAGCATATTAGAGATCAACTCTTAACCCTCATTCTTCACAAAAGCACCAAAAGCTGAAATCTTTGTATTTCTCTCATTTTCAATTTCTGCTGCTATTCTGACACCAAGTGTCAAGACTGGTGTATGACAGTAGTTKTAAATTAGTAATGCAAAAAAACAGATTTGAAAAATAAACATTTGAAACTTTTGTTGCTGTAGTGAGGATAGTGATTTTGAATTGACTGTTATTGTAGGTGTGCAGAAGGCCTCACACAAATTTATGATTTAGCACTATTATGAAGTTTTTATTACAGGAAAATGTTACATAGTTGGGGAAGATACAAAAAAAATGAGATAATAAAAATGATAACTCAGTCTCTATTTTGACTGTCTGAGTGAAACCTACCTTGTTGGTTTGTTTTCTACATCGATAGAATTAATATATACAAGAATTAGCAGTAGGTATGCATTCTTCCTATTTAAGCTGCACTTGCTCATGGCATGCAGGTGSCAAGTAGAGGGACAGAGCTTTGCCATATTGCTTTCTTCCAATTCTGAATATAYCTGCTGCATGATTGGAGAGCCACAAAAAGGCTGGGGAGAAGGAGAACAGGCAGGAAGCAAAGGAGGTGCTCCGGGAAATCCCAGACAGTGTTTTCTGCAGCCTCTTTCTGCATTAGAGAGCACAGACCCCAGTAAAAGGTACAGGAATAGAAAAGTCTGACACACAGAACAACAGGGATTATGTATCAATGGATGAAAAAAGGAGTTTCAAGGATCAGGACATTAGTGAAGTGGTCCATGTTTTAAAACTGTACCTATGAAACAATTCCTGTACTTATTTTGCAGYATCATCTAGTGTTGAAAGAGGCTGAGGCAACCCACACTAGGATGAGYGCTGGAGAAAGCAAGATGGAAGAAAATCTATTCATAAGTCTTCCACTTCAAAGAAAAAATATAATTGTACTTTCTTGTAGTTGTTATGTTACCTTAGGTGGACAGCTGGCAGCATTCTGAAAACCAATTTACAATGTGATGCACTGTTGGGATTTTACCATAAAGGTATTTTACCGAACAAGGTGGACAGTCAGGTCACTTACCAAATGATTTCATAGGCTCTACCAACTCCAGCTTAAACTTCTGACCTTTCTCCAGATCTTTTAGCATTTTGGCCACTTCATAATGCCGACACTCTGACACATTTTTTCCATTTATAGTCTCTACGTGATCACCCACGCAGACCGTTTTGATTTGGTCCATAACACTGCCTTCTTTGATTCGCTATTGTTAGAAAAAAAAAATCACCAGAATTAGAAACATTTCTTTAAAAGATGATACTTTTTAAGAGGTGATAGCACAGTTTCAAGAACATCAGTTAATAASATCAATACCAATGAGCTTATTATTCCAGCAATGTGTTTTGTYTGTAAGATTATTAAAAAAACATATTTTAAAAAGCATTGTTTTTCAAACAAAGCATTTTAATGAACATTGAATATAAAATCAGCTAGGGAAAAAAAATCTTTTTTGTGCTTTAAAACTGATCACAAACATCTTATTAATGTGAATGTTTATTCAAGCTTTTGGTTTTTTTTTATTTAGTAGCTTGACAAGCATAGGAACAGAATTTTTCTCTTCTCAAGTATGGTCTAGGGACTTGAAATACGTGTGTTATATAATAAAAAAATTACATACTGTAAATGGCCAATCTTAAAAAGACCCATCCCCAGTGGTGAAACTATTATTTTCCTCATCAAGCTATACAGTTGTATATGAAAAGATTTCCTCTGAAATAATAAAGAATAAGAAAATCTTCTAACTGYCATCTCATAGAAAATACAAATAGTCTTAAGGTCGTAAAGAAGTTACAGCTTTTGTGAAGTGGCATTTAAAAAGTATGGGGAAAAACCTTTAAAATATCTCTATTATTTATCACACTGAAAAGTTCAGTGATTCTGTTTATTGTTGTTACACAGTGTCATATTTGTTCATCATGTGCATATATCASGTAAGCCATTATTATATGGCTATTGAATAGAAAAGCTATGACATAGTAAAATTGACAAATTTCATTCTAATGTGTTCCTTAATAACAATCTTTTCAACAAAGACTGACGTTGCTCAGGCTAACTTGCAGTGAGACAAGGCAGATAAACATATTGCCACCTACTGCTGTAGCAGCCAGCCAGGCTGCGCAATCATCCCAAAGCTGCTCCCAGTCCCTGTGCGCATGTCTGAGCCCACACATGTGCCTCCATCTGAGAGTCAGTGGGAAGTGTGAGAGTGCTCAGCGTCCTATAGTGCATTGCAATGATTTTAAGCTTCAGGTTGAGTTTAACTCTTTCAAGCACTTTYTACTTTAATGTAGTTCAAAACCAAACAGAAAAGCCTCGTGGTGAATGCATATGTGGGTATCGTACACACCAAAAACCCGGTGCCAAATGCATTTCTGTTACCAGGACTCGAAAGCTGTCCCACCAGGCTGCAGGTAATGTTTAGTCTACATGTTAAATTCATATTAATTTAGCTTTTCTTCTGTATTTGGATCGCAACAATAAAACTGCTTAAATAATATTCACGGACTGTTATTTGTATAAGTATTTATCATCACTCCAAGTTAACTGACTGAGACTGTCAAGCTACATTGTCACAGTAATTAAGATGCAATTGTCTATATTTCAAGTGTTCTACAGYCCATTGAGAAGCTGTGAGGATCTATATTTTCTATGCAAGGCTTACCCCATTTGATAATGTCTCCTTGTACACCACTCAGTCATACTTCACATTCTGCTACTGTTCTTTGAATGCTAATTTGACTCCATAATACTTTTTCCCACCTGCCCATGTCCCCTAACAAACAAATTTGTGAAAGTAGAATRACACCAAGTTTTGTTCTTGGTAAGGCAAAACAAGATTAAATTTCACACGAAAAAAAACCTGTAGTTCATTGTCAGGTTTAAAATTGGCCGGATTACCACATCAAATCTAGAAACCTCCCTGCTATTCAAAATGCAATAAAAATTACTACAACCCATAGTAACTTTCAACAACCCACCAATCAGTAAATTTAGTATTAATTTTTAATTAAGAATGGRACATAGTTGCAAATTTTCAAAGAAATTATATGTATATAAGCAAAATTTGTTTTATAGAACTTCAGAGACAGTCTCTGCTTAGCCATTTACCTAGACAACTAAATATAAAAAAGATGCAGCTTTTGCTTATGTATATATGTTTTTTTTTTGCTGGTTTAAAAGATCCATTAGCTACATATGCAACAGCAACAAAGTAAGCTCCTAGAAACTCCTTAAAATTGGTGCATTCCCATGAAGACCACACCATTTTCATTACAATGCTTATTATTAGAYCTGAACAAGGAAAAATATATATTTGTTCAGAGGAGTTTTACACCATTTACTGGAAATTACAGCTTGTCTTGCTAATGTGTGAGGTTTTTCCAGTGTGCTCCAATTGTGCAGTAGTCTATGTGATGGCTATTCTCTCTGCCTGTCACCAGCCAAGCACAAAAGGAGTGTCACTGCACAGTGCTGCACTCGTGARCACTGCTCACTCAAGCGCTGCTTTCAATGCCTTCTTTTAAAATGCCACATAAGCAGCAGCATGACTGAATGTTRTGGACTGCATAGATGCCATCACTAGAAATTCACAATTCTTTGCTTATAAATATAAAAATTAGGCTATGATTTTGCCAGTTGCTTACTGAAACCTTCACTGCATCTTGACTTTCACRATACAGTCATGCAAACATGACTTCAGTCACATTTTTCCACAACAAAGACAAGWGATTTCTAAACCATGTCTTGTTTTATACCCATGGTAGCTAAGGAATGAACAGAAAATACCACCTCTCCATACAAAAAGCTCTGTTTATAATGAGAATAGTGACTRAGGCAGCAGTAATCAAAGATAATTGCTAATACCTCACTAATAATGGGTAATCAGAGTATATTAGAGAARAGAATCTAAAAAAGGCAGAAAATGTGATTAAGGTTCCTAATASCTAGTCGAGCAAGAAGGGTAGCATCATTTCCTCAACCTGTACTTGTCTCAAAACATACTATCTGTAGGTCATARAGAAGAGGAGAAGGAAAGCAATTATGATTAATACATAGTGTATGATACTGCCCATACTTGCTACTCAAGTTAATTGCAGTAAATTGTGTTATTCCATACTTTTGTAATTCAGCCTATTTAAGGCAACAATATTTGAAAGCTGAAAAAGCACTATACTTTGCCCCTACTCTTGTACAGCACAAAGGCTTCTGCCCTGGGAACAGTGAAAGAGTGAAAGAACATGATCTCATTATCACATGAGTGATAGAAGTTCTATAAGCATCTAATAAATGACATCAGAAAATCACTTTCAAATAGGAGGGGGCAGATGCAAGCAGTATCTAACACCTACCACCTCAGGGTAGCTGAGGAGATACAATGGTGGCATTGTAAAGCTGATACACATTACAGAAGCAATGAACAAATGAACTAATTTTGAATGACGTGCAGTACAGCATAGCTGAACTAATTTTGAATTACGTACATAAAGAAAAGTGACTTTATTCTTTACTTGCCACATATATGATAATTAAAGATTTTATASTTCTAAAGAATCATTTAACCAGTAATTAACCTATTATAGTAACAGGAGCTTCTATAGAATAAAGTATTTTACTGCTAATTAAGTTTACCTTTATAAAGGCACAGCCCGTTCCGTTGTCTGTAATGGTAAGCCCCAGCAATTCATCAGTTTTAAGAATTTCCACTTCTTTTCGCTGTCCTTTCACATGGGCAAATATGAAATCTTCAAGGCCAATTTGTGCACCTAAGAGCTTGTCCATATCAACTTTATGAGTGTTCAAAGTGCAAAACATGATCTGYGCAGAAGGAAAGCAAACACATTAAGTTTAACAGTGCATTAGGTTTTGTGAGCTGGACAGGAAGATAAAATGAAAGCACAATTCCGGCCCCTGTGATAAGACCCATAGCTTAAATGATACCTCTTCTTCTCCAGCTGTACCAGAGAGGGGATAATCTCCATCCACACACAACACAAAGCATCAGTAGGTCAAACTGCAGATAAGAGCTGGGAACATAGGAAAGAGACCTACCTGTGTGAGCAGCCTCTCCTGGCCTGTCTCAGCACACCAGCCCTGAGAGGCGTCTTCAGCTGCTACAGCTTGCACCAGAGCTTAGAGTAAGCAAACTGAAGAGCTATCACCATCTTCTGCTTCATCACTCAAATTCCACATAACTCAAAGATCACTAGGGACTACTTTAAAACTTGATTGGTTGAAAGCAGTTTAATGGCAAAAAGAAGAGAGCTTATCAAAATAAAAGGGTCGTGAGAGAGTATGAAATGTTTTGTATTGCTTCTTGTGTTCCCCCATTAGCTCAGAGCACATTGTCTCCAATGGGTTTGCTTAGTTCCTACCCTTCCCCAGCATGACTTGGGATCATCCGTGTTCCAGCTCAGTAAATGCAAGACTTAATAAAAAGGGCAAATTGCTTCTTTATAAATCAGCTTTTCTGAGGGATTCCCCTCCAGCACTGTGTATCAGGCAATCCTTTTTCTCCCTACAYTTAGGTCAGCCCTTCAGCAGGAAGGTTTAGGCAAGATGAGGGTAATCCAGCTGTACTGCCTGGAGACAGAGATGCTTTTGCCCACCATGGAGCTGCACGAAGGGACTTGGCCAAGGCCAACACACCCTATCACAGCTACAGTAACTGCAGCAACCCAAGCCTTTCCAAGCTGAAGCAGGAGAGGAGTGAGGGCCAAAGGAACCACACAGCCTCTTCCTGGGCAGCACTGGAGAGCACAGGGCAGCAGCCAAACCTGAGAAACTCTGCGCTCCAAGGGAAATTTGGAGAATCCCCAAAGTCCACCTCACTGAGGCAAAGATACATGTTTTCCACACCAGAACATTACAAATGCCTTTTCTTTCTTTCTGGCATCACTGGATGAAAGCAGAAAAATTGAAATGAATGTCACCAACCTGTTTAAATTGATTCCAGGACAAATGAAGTGTGGATACTTYTACTAATGTATTTCAGAGAGCAAGCATTCCAGTTTCTGGAGCCTTCTARAAAATAGATTCTGTAACTACTGAGGTTTTAATGTTAAAACCTGAAAGATAATAGATTCTGTTTCTTGATGGAGGTCTTGTTTAGTTGTTTTTGAAAACAAAACAAACAATAACCACCCACCAAACAGCCTCACTTCAACGGCTACTTGCTTATCTCATCTAATCCATCAAACATCCACTGCAATCTAACACCTGATTTAACAATGAAAGTCGTAACAGCACACCCTWAACAGACATTAGTTTTATTTGCTGAGGTAATGCAAAGGTTTTCAGTTAAACAATATTCMAGCAGTAACAATACACAGAGAAATTAATCTGGGTTTAAGTAGAAAATTTTATTTGATATTATTATTAATAATGTAAATATTRTTATTAATAAATCTCTAATGACAAGTGCTGTTTTTAAACCTAGAAGATCCGATTAAAACACGTTATCAAGTTCACATACACATTTTGTGCTCTCTCAAGCTRCATAACTTTGTCGATGTAAAATGGCAACTCAGTTCTCTGTTCATTGTTCCTGCGAGGAATAACAAGCACTGTCTTTACATTTTAACCATTAGCATCCTTCATGTGACCTTGTCAAACAGACAATCATCTAGTAAATACTGTCACACCTTTGAAGAGATAAAATTGGCAACAGAGAAGAAATGTGATATTTAGAAACCTGATCCAGAGTTTCTCTTTATAGATCTTCATCTGGATGGCATTCCTACTACAGCCTATAAGTCTGTAGAATTTTTTGTGAGTCAGTTCTGTGCTAACCACAAGGCTGAGAGAGCATCAGCCAGTCAAAAATAAAACTTAAATCATTCTTCATCCTCTTTAGTGAACAACTGCTTTTTCTCAGAACAGATATATGCAAAGAGTAATGTACTAAAGATGTGTCTACCCAGAAAAATATATCACGACATCAGCTACCTGTTACAGCATAGCTTTATATGTACACAACTGAGATCTAWCGATTAAAAATGGAATTTTTTGATAGACTTTATGCAAATTTAATATAGGTACCTAATGACAGATTATATACTTGAATACTTAAAGTACATCTTCCACTCACTCAGATTTTTGCATATCTTTAGAAATAATTATCTTACCCAAAAATAAGGCAATAAAAAAAAAAATCAATGAGCTATTTTCATTGTTTGGTCTTTTCTCTCCTTACCCTAAACCTTTACAGGTATTTGGTCTTTAACTCAGCATACCAGTGCTGTGATATTTCATACCAACTTTAGCAAGGTATTATAAATCAGAATTTCTACATCAGTCACAAAGAATCTAGGATACCTCCTTCACTGAGGGTTATCTTCTGCAGGAGTCAGAACAAGGAAATTCTATGTGGCTGGAGACTAGAGGCTCAACTATGGACAACTTTATAAAATAGATTTGTCCAATAAGATTCATAACGGATTATTTCCTGCATCCTTCTTTTCCATTGGAAAAGACCACATTAGCCAACAAAACCAGGGCTATACTGTGCACTATATAAAGAAATGGTATTAGCTAAGAAAAAAAGGGTTACATGATGTGTTATATAAAGTATATATGCAGTGCTACATTGCATATTCTATACATTAATTATACTCTCATCTTCCATATTGAGCTTACACTTTGAGAAGAACTCAACAATAAGTTGATTGATAGATTACACCATCAGAAGCTATTAAAAATGCTTTAAAAATCAATAGACCTCAGATAACGTTACAGAGGAGATAATAATCACTTTCTGGGAATTTTAAKTCTGAGCAAGATGTAACACCTACTGACATATTCCCCTATATATGTAGATGTCATCATATCAAGAAATCACCAAAGCATTTTTTAGGTACTTTACCCACTTTATCCTCCCGGAGGAAAATGTGGGAGCCTTGACCAGTTGCAGCAACAGGAAGAGCAACCAGCTCCTCCAAGTTCCAGTATGCTGTTGGTACTCTGTCAGGTATGCAACTTGGTCAATACATCTGAAGCCTTACAAAATAAGCATTCAACGTTTTACTGTTTGTTTGGGGTTTTTTTTAAACCCAAAGTACACAAGTATTATAGTGTAAATTCTTCCACACAATTATTTCCATACTAATAATCCAAATACTTTCAATTCAAGTATTTGAAAAAGACAAGTAAGCGTCACATGTAATAGGGGTGTGACATTTCAGCACTGCTTAGGGAAACAGCAAGCAAACAATTCTTGCCATAGGGCTGGGAGGAGGTGGTTTGCAGGGAGTGTTAAGTTTGCTCATTTATTCAAGTATTCAATCTGTAGGCGAGATTGTGAGCAATTTGTTTCAACAGATAAGCATAACAATAAAACTTGCAACATTTTGGTGATGAWGCTTTCACAAGCCAAAACTTTTTCTCTAAAACACACTTCAGTTTTTTTTTACTGTTAAAAGGACAGTTTTGTTCAGAAACACAAGTTTCAGCAGTGGCTAATTTGTCAGTAGTCTTTCATAGAAGTTTAAAATGAACAGGTTTAAATCAAATACTTCTATGAAAGTTTAATGTGGCACAGCCTCCCAGTATACTTGACTGTTTAGCATGAGGAGGCAAGGCCTGTGGAACAACAGTCCATACACAAGCTCAGCAGCTGAACTCTTGTTACGAGAAGAGAAAGAGGGAGCTGCATTTCTGCCTTTACTGCTGCCAGAAAAGCCTCTCTTTTCCTGCATTAGCCTTGTGATGCAAAATTCCTTCCACTGTGAAAGAAACCCCAACCTCCAAGGGCTCAGGACAGACACTACTGAGCATTAAGTTTACTTCACCAGCCCCACCATATTTCACCTTTCAAATAAAGTAWTTTTTTWWAAAAAAATCAAAAGTGCAAATTGCAAGTAGACAAACCAAAAGTCCATACAGCTTCTRTGGGTTACCATTCCCTTCTCATCTGATCAAGAAATAGTCCTGCTACAGCTAGACTTTAATATCAATGTTCTCAGTGCCCGATTAGCTWCTCTGAATACTTTAAAGCCCTACCATGTGCTCTCACAGGAGCACACCACCACCAAATGCTTTAACAGACCCACATTGTCCTTCAGTCAGTGCTCATTCATTTATCATACAGGCTGCACTCAGCACTTTCACCCTTACGGGTAACATAACATTCCCTCTTACATTCCCAATAGTCATAGTGGAGCCAAAGCTACAGATAAATAGTTTTCCTAGCTACTTTTCCTACTTCAACCTACATAGAATAAATAGGGGGAGATATTTTTATTAWTTATGCAAATAGAAACATACACGTAACTGTGCGTGGGTTGTGTTGTTAGTTAAGAGTTGCATCCATCTATATATTTTTCAGCTCTGTACTTTCTTGTTGAAAGCCTGTTGAAGTAATCGAGTTAAAAGCCAAGAACAATGTGATCTACCTCAAACAACATTCATAATAACGACGCTGGAAATTATACAACTTCAAAAAATTTTTATGTAACTTTAGTCAGGGGTTTGTTCTCCTTTGCCCAGGGGAAAGGAAATTGAAGCTTCTCCTTAAAAGACTGAGAGGCCCGATGAGCTTAACATCCAGACAATGAGAAGCCAGAAGATACACAGGTGATAAGCGAACATTAGCGAACATTAAAGGACATTATCCCCAACATCACCCGTGGTGCTGTCAGAGACACCTGGTCTGGGAAAAGACTGATAAGAGAAACAATGAATGAACAGCATATTAGCATCGAAGGCGAACGGAACAATAATCATTAGGAGATCGAATGCTAAGAATCGAGTAATTTGAGACCCATGAACAACAATTTCTTTGCATTTTGTCTKTATAAATGTATGAAAAGTCTAGTAAAGGATTGTGTGTGGTGGAATTTTCACTGTACAACTCGGGCACGTGTGGATGAAATGATTTCTATTGCACATCCTGGCCAGTAGAACATYCTGGCCAGAATAAAGTAATGCCTTAATTTTCTAACCTAAAAAGACGTTGTTGGAGAGTTTTTGYTTTTCCTGCTTTCCCAGTTTCAGTGACAATGATACAGCCAAGCTATTGCTAGAGGCCATATTTACTCATCCTCCCTGGTCAAAGAACACGGTGGACTGTGAAAAAAAGAAATTCCAATCATGGTGAAAGAGAGGAAGGCAGAAAGGGAGGATAAACATCAGCTTCAAAAGGGGTAACAGATAGCTATTCACCCAGGAAGCTGGATGAAGAATTAAATACCTAGACAAGAAAGGATGAGTACAAGAAAAACATCAGAAAGCTGCTATTATGTCTCACTTCTTCATACATACCTAGGAAACACCCCCTTTGAAGCTATACCCATCTTGTCCTGTCCCCATTCTACCCTACTCATCATCCAGGGCTGCACAGAAGTTTCTGTCAATGTCTGTCCAACAAATACTGTGTTTATATAAACTCCTCTCTGTCACTSTTGGCAGTCTATCATAGAACCTGGAAAGGATTCTCCAGCAGAAGCTAAACTCAGCTGGCCCTGTGAGATGTGATCCAAAGAGGAAAAGAGGTGCTGTAACCATGTGGAGTCAAAAGGAGAAGTGACAGATTACAAGTATAGGTCAATCAGAGTCATATTAAAACACTTAGGCAGGAATTCATCCAAGAATCCATATTCTTACCTACACTGCAGTACAATCACATCATATTAAATGTATTCGCTCTTGCAAAAGTTACCTGAATGCTCTCTACACTGAGCTCTTCCCCTCCACTCCCCCCACTATTTTCCACCTCAGTCACTACAGCGTAGAGATCTCTGTGATAGGACCTGTTTCCAAAGGCAGTCGGGTATCACACTGCCCACAGGATTCAGCAGAGCTAGGTCACTGAAACTTTCCTAGACAGGTAACACCTAAAAGTGGCATTTGAGTACCTCAGTGTCACTCAGTTTGCTGCCATGTAGGTTCTGGCTTTATTCTTTACACAAGACTATCTGTCCAAAAGCAGCTTTAATGAATAGATAATACCATTTAAAACAAATTCTAATTAATTCACATTTCTTGGCAGTTCTTGCTGTTCACTGATCTATCTTGTCCATCCAAAATTCTGTTGCATGACCCTCTGATTTATGCTCTTCACTCTGCTGTGTCACCTTTACACCAGGAAATATTTTTGATCACTGTTTTCATTTCATACAACTTCCTTAAAAGCAACTGAATTTATAGAGTAAAAGATTTTAAGTTCAGTGTCTCCAGCAATAATTACCCATCCATTTTTTTTGCAATAAGCCACATAAAAAAAAATTTGCAAAAGAATGGAACATTAGGGAAAAAAAGAAAATGAGAAAATTCTCTAGTCTGGCACAAGGCTGGCAATATATGCCCATGATATATGGTGCTTCCTCTAAAACCTCTGAGGGTGTCAGATTATACATCTAGCAGGAGAAACAGGAGCACACCATTCATACAAAATTAAGTTTCTTTGTGAACGCTCTTCTTTCTCAAGTCAGTGGAGCCAAAAGTTCAACAGTGAATGGAAGAAAACTAAAATAGAAGACAATCTGGTAATTATGAGAACTTGAGAATAAAAGGTATAACTGAGATGGAACAGAACAAAAGGAGAACAGCAGCTCAGGATGAAAAGAAAACAAAGGAGCAGAAGGTCAGAAAGCAGCTGGGAAGGTCTGGGACATGGGTGCATTGCCTCTTAATTACTTAATGCAACAGTGACTGGTTAAACTGTATTCACTGCTACTGCCACTTTCCTTTGCAATTTACTGTTTGAAATGCTAGGTCAGGCCACACCAAATTCAGAACAAAGCCTGTTGTAGCAACAGTCTTTACAACTTTTTAAAAAGTCAGCTACAAAGAAGCAAACAAGTAAAACTGTATAGCTGCACGTAGGCATAATGAAATGTTAGCATTTTGTTTCAGTTTGCCACTCAGAGGTTAAGGTTCACAGAACCACATAGGAAGAACTTGATACGGCCACTACCTTTTAACTAAGAGAAAACAATGCATTTACAAATACAAATGAATCATTATCCAAACAAATGTTTAGAACATGGCTCAGGAAGAAAAAAAAAATCAAAAAGCAGCAGAGTTAAAAAAAATCCTGTTACAGACTTAAATAACCTCACTTGAATAGTACGTGTTTAAAAATAATTACCTGATAAAACAGAAAACTTTCCAAACATCACATTCGGCTGAAATGTTAAAGTGTAGTACAATTTGGGGCATTTATACCGCACCCCCTGCCTTCCAATGCCTTCATTTATTTACTCTCACAGATCAGTTGGCCCTTTTTTAACTGGAGTGAAGCAGTGCCTAGGAGCTGTGTCAAACAGCAGCCGGACACAGGTTAACCGGGCCACTGGAGTTTTGGACAATAGTACCACTGTTTCTACCATATAAGAGTTAAACGCAGCCACACTTATGTCTTTTCCCGTACGGTAACGCTCATTTGGAACAGCAAAGGGAATTTTTTTCTCCCAAGAAATGTAAAGTCGGCAGGTCCACACAAGCCCGTGGCAGAGGATGCCCGCGGGCAGGAAGGGAGGGAACAGCCCCGGCCCTTTGGCGCCTCTGGAGGCCCGGCGGCCGCGGCCCGGCGGTGCCGGCCCTACCTGTGAGGGGCAGATGGCGAACGCCTCGGCGATCTTGGCGTACAGCTCGCGGGCGCTGCCGAAGCCCTCCACGCGGCCCGTGGGGCTGCCGTGCGCCAGCTGCGTGTGGAACTGCAGCCGCGTCGCGGCCGCGGACGGCGCCGGGGCCGCCGCGGGGGCCGGGGCCGCCGCCTCGCTCTCCACCAGCTTGAAGGTCTCCTTGGACTTGTCCTTCTTCTTGTTCCTCAGCCCCAGCGGCATCTTCCGCGCCGGGCCCGGGCTCCTGCGGCTGCCGCCGCTCGCACTGGACTCTGCCCCCGGCGCGGCGCC